ATCTAGTTTTTGCATCGTGGACTTATGCAGTGTTTCGGTGCAAACGTATGACGTGTAGAAATTTATCCTTCTTTAGCTTCGTGTTGGGATGCGAGTGAGCTTCCTTTACATCCATCCATTATCCAAACCGCTTATCCTCAGTACAACATAATTCTTCCCTCCAAAACCCAAACGGAGCTGCTGCACCACCCCAGTCCTCTTTTACACCTGTCTCTCAATGACTGAGCGATTCTTTATTTTTACTTTCTAAAATAGCATATTAATGCTCACATAAACAATTCCAGTGGCACTGCAAGTCCTCGATGACAACTTGATGTCCGAGGTGAGGATGAGGGGAGGATTCAAAGACTGTCAGCAGCTGCCTTTTGGTAATGACCTCACTCCTTCAGTGTGTTTTTATTTTTTTTTTATGTGTGTCGCTGTTTCTGCTTCACTATTCGAGGGATCTTTCTCTGGCATTGAGTGTTTGCTTGAGTTTCAGTTGGCTTAAATGAATGTGACGTCTTGCTGCGTTAGTTAGTCAATGACCATAATATTGTTTTTAAAATAAATATGTATATATTTTTTTAGGACGGTGTGATATTAATGAGTTTCGACACAACTGGGCCTGTGCTAATGTCATATGTTGACCAGATCAGTTTGCAGGAACAGATCTTTTACTGTTTAGCCAGCTGCAGACTTGGAAAACTTGAGGAAAAACCAAGATTCAACTAATTTCCCCACATGCAAAAAATATTTATTCTCAGGTATCTGTTTTGATTTATTAGCAGGATTAGTAGCCATTTGTTTTTAGGCTTGATTGCCCCTGATTTGTTATCTTTCAAGAGACTCACTGTTTTCCAGATGGGATTTAACAGCAGTGGTTTCGAGAGTTTATTATTTTGGACACCGCGTTTGAAATGCCACGTCTTCTTGACAGACTACTTTCTTTTTGGGTTTTTTTTTTTTTCATCATGCGGTAACACAACATTTGGCCACCTTCAGTAAAATGGTATGTTCCCCTTTAAATGTTTAAAATGTTTATTATTTGAAATGGTTTGGTCATTATTACTGTAAAAATGTGATGCCAGGTTTTTTTTTTTTTTTTTCGGATAAATGGCCCGGATAATGGATAGAAGGTATTGACTGACTCATATTGGTTCATCACACGGTTTTGAGGCGTATAAAGTCACTGCTGGAAGCTCAGTGCTACTGTCAGCAGCAATTCTCTCCATGTCGGTTTGTTTGACCAGTGGGCTATGCGTGACAGATTTGCAAATGATGAGAAGAAACAAGGGGAGAATTGGATAAAAAGATGGTTGTTACGTGATGAGACGTGTAATCTCTAAGCTTTGTGAGACTGGAGGAGGTGTGACATCTCTGCACATGCTGTTCCTCGGTGATAACTTGACACACTTCGCAAAGTGGAAGCAGGCTGTTTTCTAGCTTTCTCAAATGACGCAACTTTTTTGTCATTCACGACATTCGTGCTGTCAGACTACCAAATAAATATTGTTCTGTGTCTTGGATCGGGAGAAATCTCACAAGTCCATCACAGACCAGGCCGCACCTAATCATATGCTTCCGTCATGATTCGGTCCATCGGCGCAAGTTCGTCGGGGAGGCGGGACAAGCAGCTGTCAAAGTCATGTTGACACAGG